GGTCCCTGAGGCTCCTGATTGGGTCCCTGAGGCTCCTGACTGGGTTCCTGAGGCTCCTGATTGGGTCCCTGAGGCTCCTGATTGGGTCCCTGAGGCTCCTGATTGGGTCCCTGAGGCTCCTGATTGGGTCCCTGAGGCTCCTGATTGGGTCCCTGAGGCTCCTGACTGGGTTCCTGAGGCTCCTGATTGGGACCCTGAGGCTCCTGATTGGGACCCTGAGGCTCCTGATTGGGACCCTGAGGCTCCTGATTGGGACCCTGAGGCTCCTGACTGGGTCCCTGAGGCTCCTGACTGGGTCCCTGAGGCTCCTGACTGGGTCCCTGAGGCTCCTGATTGGGACCCTGAGGCTCCTGACTGGGTCCCTGAGGCTCCTGACTGGGTCCCTGAGGCTCCTGACTGGGTCCCTGAGGCTCCTCATTGGGACCCTGAGGCTCCTGATTGGGACCCTGAGGCTCCTGACTGGGTCCCTGAGGCTCCTGACTGGGTCCCTGAGGCTCCTGACTGGGTCCCTGAGGCTCCTGACTGGGTCCCTGAGGCTCCTGATTGGGACCCTGAGGCTCCTGACTGGGTTCCCGAGGCTCCTGATTGGGACCCTGAGGCTCCTGACTGGGTCCCTGAGGCTCCTGATTGGGACCCTGAGGCTCCTGATTGGGACCCTGAGGCTCCTGACTGGGTCCCTGAGGCTCCTGATTGGGTCCCTGAGGTTCCTGATTGGGACCCTGAGGCTCCTGACTGGGTCCCTGAGGCTCCTGATTGGGACCCTGAGGCTCCTCATTGGGACCCTGAGGCTCCTGACTGGGTCCCTGAGGCTCCTGATTGGGACCCTGAGGCTCCTCATTGGGACCCTGAGGCTCCTCATTGGGACCCTGAGGCTCCTGACTGGGTCCCTGAGGCTCCTGACTGGGTCCCTGAGGCTCCTGATTGGGTTCCTGAGGCTCCTCATTGGGACCCTGAGGCTCCTGACTGGGTCCCTGAGGCTCCTGATTGGGACCCTGAGGCTCCTGATTGGGACCCTGAGGCTCCTGATTGGGACCCTGAGGCTCCTGACTGGGTTCCTGAGGCTCCTGACTGGGTCCCTGAGGCTCCTGATTGGGACCCTGAGGCTCCTGATTGGGACCCTGAGGCTCCTGATTGGGTTCCTGAGGCTCCTGATTGGGTCCCTGAGGCTCCTGATTGGGACCCTGAGGCTCCTGATTGGGACCCTGAGGCTCCTGACTGGGTTCCTGAGGCTCCTGACTGGGTTCCTGAGGCTCCTGACTGGGTCCCTGAGGCTCCTGATTGGGACCCTGAGGCTCCTGATTGGGACCCTGAGGCTCCTGACTGGGTCCCTGAGGCTCCTGATTGGGACCCTGAGGCTCCTGACTGGGTCCCTGAGGCTCCTCATTGGGTCCCTGAGGCTCCTGACTGGGACCCTGAGGCTCCTGACTGGGTTCCTGAGGCTCCTGACTGGGTTCCTGAGGCTCCTGACTGGGTCCCTGAGGCTCCTGATTGGGACCCTGAGGCTCCTGATTGGGACCCTGAGGCTCCTGACTGGGTCCCTGAGGCTCCTGATTGGGACCCTGAGGCTCCTGACTGGGTCCCTGAGGCTCCTGACTGGGTCCCTGAGGCTCCTGATTGGGACCCTGAGGCTCCTGATTGGGACCCTGAGGCTCCTGACTGGGTCCCTGAGGCTCCTGATTGGGACCCTGAGGCTCCTGATTGGGACCCTGAGGCTCCTGACTGGGTCCCTGAGGCTCCTGACTGGGTCCCTGAGGCTCCTGATTGGGACCCTGAGGCTCCTGATTGGGACCCTGAGGCTCCTGACTGGGTCCCTGAGGCTCCTGATTGGGACCCTGAGGCTCCTGACTGGGTCCCTGAGGCTCCTGACTGGGTCCCTGAGGCTCCTGATTGGGTCCCTGAGGCTCCTGACTGGGTTCCCGAGGCTCCTGATTGGGACCCTGAGGCTCCTGACTGGGTCCCTGAGGTTCCTGATTGGGACCCTGTGGCTCCTGACTGGGTCCCTGAGGCTCCTGATTGGGACCCTGAGGCTCCTGATTGGGACCCTGAGGCTCCTGACTGGGTCCCTGAGGCTCCTGATTGGGACCCTGAGGCTCCCCATTGGGTCCCTGAGGCTCCTGATTGGGTCCCTGAGGCTCCTGATTGGGTCCCTGAGGCTCCTGACTGGGACCCTGAGGCTCCTGATTGGGTCCCTGAGGCTCCTCATTGGGTTCCTGAGGCTCCTGATTGGGACCCTGAGGCTCCTGATTGGGACCCTGAGGCTCCTGACTGGGTCCCTGAGGCTCCTGATTGGGACCCTGAGGCTCCTGATTGGGTCCCTGAGGCTCCTCATTGGGTCCCTGAGGCTCCTGACTGGGACCCTGAGGCTCCTGATTGGGTCCCTGAGGCTCCTGATTGGGTCCCTGAGGCTCCTGACTGGGTTCCTGAGGCTCCTGATTGGGTCCCTGAGGCTCCTGATTGGGTCCCTGAGGCTCCTGATTGGGTCCCTGAGGCTCCTGATTGGGTCCCTGAGGCTCCTGATTGGGTCCTGAGGCTCCTGACTGGGTTCCTGAGGCTCCTGATTGGGTCCCTGAGGCTCCTGATTGGGTCCCTGAGGCTCCTGATTGGGACCCTGAGGCTCCTGATTGGGACCCTGAGGCTCCTGATTGGGACCCTGAGGCTCCTGATTGGGACCCTGAGGCTCCTGACTGGGTCCCTGAGGCTCCTGACTGGGTCCCTGAGGCTCCTGACTGGGTCCCTGAGGCTCCTGACTGGGTCCCTGAGGCTCCTCATTGGGACCCTGAGGCTCCTGATTGGGACCCTGAGGCTCCTGATTGGGACCCTGAGGCTCCTGACTGGGTCCCTGAGGCTCCTGACTGGGTCCCTGAGGCTCCTGACTGGGTCCCTGAGGCTCCTGATTGGGACCCTGAGGCTCCTGACTGGGTTCCCGAGGCTCCTGACTGGGACCCTGAGGCTCCTGACTGGGTCCCTGAGGCTCCTGATTGGGACCCTGAGGCTCCTGATTGGGACCCTGAGGCTCCTGACTGGGTCCCTGAGGCTCCTGATTGGGTCCCTGAGGTTCCTGATTGGGACCCTGAGGCTCCTGACTGGGTCCCTGAGGCTCCTGATTGGGACCCTGAGGCTCCTGATTGGGACCCTGAGGCTCCTGACTGGGTCCCTGAGGCTCCTGATTGGGACCCTGAGGCTCCTGACTGGGACCCTGAGGCTCCTGATTGGGACCCTGAGGCTCCTGACTGGGTCCCTGAGGCTCCTGATTGGGACCCTGAGGCTCCTGACTGGGACCCTGAGGCTCCTCATTGGGACCCTGAGGCTCCTCATTGGGACCCTGAGGCTCCTGATTGGGACCCTGAGGCTCCTCATTGGGACCCTGAGGCTCCTCATTGGGACCCTGAGGCTCCTGACTGGGTTCCTGAGGCTCCTGATTGGGACCCTGAGGCTCCTGATTGGGACCCTGAGGCTCCTCATTGGGACCCTGAGGCTCCTGACTGGGTCCCTGAGGCTCCTGACTGGGTTCCTGAGGCTCCTGATTGGGACCCTGAGGCTCCTCATTGGGACCCTGAGGCTCCTCATTGGGACCCTGAGGCTCCTGATTGGGACCCTGAGGCTCCTCATTGGGACCCTGAGGCTCCTGACTGGGTTCCTGAGGCTCCTGACTGGGTTCCTGAGGCTCCTGATTGGGACCCTGAGGCTCCTGATTGGGACCCTGAGGCTCCTCATTGGGACCCTGAGGCTCCTCATTGGGACCCTGAGGCTCCTCATTGGGACCCTGAGGCTCCTGATTGGGACCCTGAGGCTCCTGACTGGGTCCCTGAGGCTCCTGACTGGGTTCCTGAGGCTCCTGATTGGGACCCTGAGGCTCCTGATTGGGACCCTGAGGCTCCTCATTGGGACCCTGAGGCTCCTGATTGGGACCCTGAGGCTCCTCATTGGGACCCTGAGGCTCCTGATTGGGACCCTGAGGCTCCTCATTGGGACCCTGAGGCTCCTGACTGGGTCCCTGAGGCTCCTGACTGGGTTCCTGAGGCTCCTGATTGGGACCCTGAGGCTCCTCATTGGGACCCTGAGGCTCCTGATTGGGACCCTGAGGCTCCTGATTGGGACCCTGAGGCTCCTCATTGGGACCCTGAGGCTCCTCATTGGGACCCTGAGGCTCCTGACTGGGTCCCTGAGGCTCCTGACTGGGACCCTGAGGCTCCTGACTGGGTCCCTGAGGCTCCTGACTGGGACCCTGAGGCTCCTGACTGGGACCCTGAGGCTCCTGACTGGGACCCTGAGGCTCCTGACTGGGACCCTGAGGCTCCTGATTGGGACCCTGAGGCTCCTGATTGGGACCCTGAGGCTCCTGACTGGGTCCCTGAGGCTCCTGACTGGGTCCCTGAGGCTCCTGACTGGGTCCCTGAGGCTCCTGATTGGGACCCTGAGGCTCCTGATTGGGACCCTGAGGCTCCTGACTGGGTTCCCGAGGCTCCTGATTGGGACCCTGAGGCTCCTGATTGGGACCCTGAGGCTCCTCATTGGGACCCTGAGGCTCCTGATTGGGACCCTGAGGCTCCTCATTGGGACCCTGAGGCTCCTGACTGGGTCCCTGAGGCTCCTGACTGGGTTCCTGAGGCTCCTGATTGGGACCCTGAGGCTCCTGATTGGGACCCTGAGGCTCCTGATTGGGACCCTGAGGCTCCTGATTGGGACCCTGAGGCTCCTCATTGGGACCCTGAGGCTCCTCATTGGGACCCTGAGGCTCCTGACTGGGTCCCTGAGGCTCCTGACTGGGACCCTGAGGCTCCTGACTGGGACCCTGAGGCTCCTGACTGGGACCCTGAGGCTCCAGGAACCGCAGCCAGGCTGCTGGAGGTTAGTTACGTCACTGACATAATTATCCGCGAACAAAACCCGGAGCGGACACGGAGCCCAGAACAGAGCTGACCGGCTACCGGCATCCTGTCAGCCGGTAGCCGGTCAGCTCTGAACCATAATGACCGCAGAGGAAGAAGCGTGTTTCTCACCCAGAAAGGATCAGAACCGTCGGCGCTGCAGAAGCTTCCCATCAGCCGCTGCTGGAGCCAAACGGCTGTTTTGTAACTAACAGCCAGACGGAAGGAGCCGATTGCTTCTTCTTCGTGGGTAGAAATACAGGCTAGGTGCTGCCGCCTGCTGGCGGATAATGGGAATGAGGTGGTTCTTCTTCACACTGATAGATCAAGGATTCATCTTTATAATATATCATCTAGTTCTTTCAGAAATATTAGGATCTGCTTGCTTCCTGAATTTCTAACAGATCTATTTCTTTGCCATTATTATGTTTCCCTAATTGTCAGTTTTTTTTCTCATGTTTTTTCTTTTTGATTGTTTTGAGAATCAAGTCTAACATGTTTAATTGTTTCATTTTCCACAGAATGTTCACATTTGCCTCTTTTATTTTTAATCTTCAAATTAAATCAGGGATGTAAACTATATAGTTATGGGCTGGTATCCTAGAAATACTGATGGTAAACCCATCAGCTGTAATCTGTTAGCTGTATTTCTATGTTTATCCGGTCTGCTGTCTGAATGATTAGGTTATAAACTGCTTAACTGAATTTGACATAATTAAATGTCCTCCACCTCTGTGCTGCCAACAAAACTTCTGACAAACTGTCAGGGATTATTTTCCAATCAGACAGATTATAATATGAATAAGTTGGACTAAACATTCTGAACCTAATGTTTTATTTGACTGTTATGAAAAACAAGCTGTGATCATGTTTAATAATGGTCTTTATTCTTCATATTTAACTTTTTCAAGTCAATCACTCTCTGGTGCTGTAAAGCGTGATATTAATTGAGGATGGATGTTCATGCTGATATTTAACAAGACTCTGACTCTGGCTCTGTGACCGTCCTCCGGCCCAAACCAGAGGTCGTTTCTCAGGACGTGTATTTGTGTTTTGTGCTCGTGAAACATTTTCCACACCAGCTCTGTTCTGATTCACAAGCCCATTTACTGATTGTTTTTCTTTTCATGCCTAATAAAAAAAAAGGTTCAGGTGTGGAGCAAACTGTGGCAACCGGCGGGGCTTCGAGGCTAACCATAGAATCAGAAATACTTTAACAATCCAAGAGGGAAATTACTTTTGTTACACGCTCCAGATACAGTTTTATATATAAACAACAAACCACACAAGATGATAAAGATATAAATATATACACATATAACTCTTCTGTATATATATATATATATATATATATATATATATATATATATATATATATATATATATATATATATATATATATATATATATATATATATATATATATGTATATATATGTGTGTGTATATAGCTAAATCCAAGTAAAGTCACAGTGGCGTGCAAAAATAGTGCATAAATGTCAATTACAGTGGGGGGGCGGTCTGAATCACTTGAGGGAGGCATTATATAGGTAGATGACCACAGGTAGGAATGATTTCCTGTGTCGCTCTGTGGTGCATCTGGGTAGGAGGAGTCTCCTGCTGAAGGAGCTGGTCTGTTGGACCAGTGTGTCGTGGAGAGGATGTGAGTCATTGTCTAAGATGGACTGAAACCTGGACAGCATCCTCCTCTCTGCCACGGTGGTCAGGGTGTCCCCCCCCACAGCATCCCCGGCCCTCCTGATCAGTTTGTTCAGTCTGTTGTTGTCAGCGACCCTCAGCCCACTGCCCCAGCATGTGACAGCGAAGAAGAGCGTGCTAGCAACAACAGACTCTTAAAACATAGAACATGAGAATTTTTTTTTCATTTCTGCACGAAGCTGCGGCCATCTTGGCGCCGTCGCTCCAACGGTGCTAGCAGCAGTGATCAGGCTGGGAGAAGAACAGCAGTTTGGCTGTGACTCCATCCTGGAGAGAAATATCAGCTGTGCTGCTGCCATCAACACCTTCGTTTCTAGATGTTGGAGCTTGGCCTGTTTTCCAGTATTTATTCCTGTTTCTCTCCTGTAGCTCTGGGCTCAGCTTCTACTGGGACGTCTGATTAACCGCTTCTTTCCCAGACAGCCAGCTGTGGAGCTGGTTTACTGTTAGCTTTTCTTACATAGAAAGTGTTTAGCTTCTATGCTTCTTTTTCTATGTCTGCTTCTGTCTCCTTGAACCCCAGTGGGCCTCAGCAGATGGCCGCTCACACTGAGCCTGGTTCTGCTGGAGGTTTCTTCCTGTTCAAAGGGAGTTTTTCCTCTCCACTGTCGCTACAAGCATGCTTAGTGTGAGGGATTGCTGAAGAGTCAATGAGTCGATGCAATCAGCTGGATAGAAAACTTTGATCTGATTGGATGATCTGATAAAAGGATGTTTTTACCAATAGATGACTGGTTTGGAATTACAGTTATATAAATAAACTGAATTGAACTGAATCAGAGCCTGATATCTACAGACCTACAGACGTTCTCCATCTTAACTAAAACTAACCTTCAGCTCTTTTTTTTAAGGAAAAATGGGAAAAATATTGCACTTTGTAAAAGTTGACAGAGACAAATAGAAGAACTGCATATCCAAATTCAGGGGGACAGTTCAGTTTTTATTGGTACAAAGTTTTGGAAGTGTGGCAAAGTATGCAACCAAGGGCCTGGCAGGGTTTGACCCCTGACCCGGGTGAAGGTCAGGCGTGCTGACCAGTCACCTGAAGGGAAATTCTATCCGGCCATGATGACTCAGACGTATAGTGACCTCATGGTCACAGCTCTCCCTCTCTTTCCACCAGCGCGTCTTCCTGCTCCACGCAGGCGGCCATAGACTGTTTGCTTCACAGAGATCCCATTTCTGACACCAACCTCGGTCTGGTTTGTCACCATGTTCTTCATAACGATGTCCATCTTTGTGTTGGTCCATCATATAACATCCATTAATGTGTGTGGCTGTGTTTGAAGGTTTTTATAAATTCATAAAGCAGGATCCATTTTCTCACCACTCAGCAGTATAAATCACTCATCGCAGAAACACTTCCCCCTCTTTATTGAGCATGACTCAGTAGAAATTTTAAGGATAAGTTAAGACAGTCGATTTGTCAGGTAACAGCAATAAGCACATATATTATTGTTTCTCCTTCAGTTTATTATTAATCAAATGTGAAGAGAATGAAAGGAATCCAATATGAAGGTGAAATGTATAAACTTGGCCACATGGTGGCAGCATATGGCTGGATTCAGTTGTCATCACCATCATCAAAGACATCTGCTACAGTCCTGCAGGGCAGAGAGGACAGTTTATAGCTGCACACCGTTATAAAACACAACGTGGATCTTTCTACAATAAAGGGGAAAAAAGCAAATCCTTTTCATTCTCATGTTGCTTTATGTGTTTTTTTCCCCTAAAGATTATTTTCCAATTTGAAATAAGTGAAAATAAAACAATAAAAATCAGATGTTTTGTGTGAAAACATGAAACCAGATAATCATTCCACCAAATTCACTTTTAGTTAGAACCTAGAAATGATAGAAAGGGAGAAGTTTCTCTAAGCGAGACTTACTTATAGATTGATCCAGTAACTTCATCAACAAACCCTCCTGGAGAAAAAATGGGAAACAGAGGAGAGAAATATGAAGATCCAGGATCATCGCTCTGATGGGAAAGAGAAGCTGTTTTCTTTATGCTGATCTATTAAAGTCGAACTCTTACAGCGGCAGGCGCTCTGCATAAAGGCCATGTTCAGTCGAATCAATGTTCAGGACAGGAAATGTGCGCACAGCTTTGATCATTAGTTTGCTATCATCCAAACAGACCCAGATATTTACTAAACCACTGGTGATAATTAGTGAAAGTGTCCTTAAAACAAGAACTACTCTCTGGTTTATCCTTTTTCTTAGTAATTCTACACTCTTTTTTATCAATTATCTGATGTTGGTTCCTTTCCAGAAAAAAACAAACAAACAGATGAAATAAAACAACCAAAACAAAGAATGTCTCCTGAGAATGGTCCATAACCAGTCTGCTGCAACCTGCCGTTCCACAGCCACCATCATTGTCCCTTAAACTGTGAGAGCCGAACGTTCCGACCAGGAAGCGGAACATTCCTCCCTGTCCGTTCCCAGCCATTACTCCGCTCCACTACAGTATTTCCTTACAACCCTGTCCTCTATCACCACCTTCTAGTAACCTTCAAACTTAACAAAGTTCTCCTCATCCAGAAGATGGTTTCACTTTTCCAAACACGTCAGAGACGTTGATTTTTCAGTCATAATCCTGATCAGTCCAGAAATATTTGGTCCGTTTGATTTTATCGCATTTTAGTCCAACAATAGACGTCTTTCTTTTCACGTTGCTTGGACATAAATGATGTCGTCTTTTCAAATACCTTTTGCTCAGTGGGCAGCAGATCATTATCGGGTAATGCAGTTATAAATATGAAAGGATCTGGTCCTTTTTCCTGTGGTCTGACCTCAGGGTTGCCAGGGGCTGAAATGCCTCCCAGAGCTCTGGTTGACAGTTCAGACTAAGGCCTCCATTATGGCCGAAAAAGAAGACTTTGCCTGAAATGACGGGGTCTGGAGCCGGGTTAGCGGGCCCCTGGTGGGACCCAGCGGGGCCCAACCACAAAGCATATGCTGGATGCTGACTAACAGCAGCTGAAAACCTTTATCTCTGTCTCTCTAGGCATTGTATTTCTGCGAACCTGTGAGGAGTCGTCTCCAATGTCCAAACTATGGTTTTTGAACATTCAGATATTCTTCCTTCATATTACTGCATACAGGTGATCATGTTTAACCCTTTAATGTGATGCTCACCAGGCTTGCAAGCTGTTTCACAGAGAGGACACACATTGCAGAAAGAGCACATCTGTGGAGGAAAACAAGAGTCAGGTGAGTGAAAGGCTGCCACTGCTTCTCTCTTTGTTTAATAGTTGATCAGTGACGTTTCAAAGCGCCTGAACGTTTGTTTCTAACTGTGGAAGAAAATGATCAGTTGGGTGGAGCAGCCATCCGTTCCATCTCTGCTGTCTTTCAAGCCTCTTTGCATCTATTTGGGTTATCAAATCACTTTTTGATGATATATGATGATATCTCTTTAATTTAGGATTATTTGTGCTTTTATTGTCAGCGTATGTTTAATTAATCCTTAAGTTGTATGAAAGACTAAACATGAATAAGTTGTTCTAATGTCAATTGATAAATAAGAGTTTTTTTCTTTTAAAAGTGAATGATTTCACAATGATCAGAGTGTCTTAAGGAGCTTTAGAAAGAACCGAGGTTAAATGTCACACAGCTTCTCACCTTGCAGTCATCGCAGTGTTCAGACTTGTCTCCTTCCTCACAGGGGCATTTATCACAGCTGTCACAGTGCTGGAACAACAATGAGTGGTCAGCAGGAGAAACAGCGCCACACAGCTGCAGCTCTACAGCGCTGCAGCTGTGTGGCGCTGTAGAGCTGCAATCCCTGAACAGCTTACAGACATCAGCACTCAGGTCTACTGAACCTACCTCACAAAATTCACAGTATGAGCACAGGGAGCCTTTGTGATAAGCATGTTCCTCCTCCTCCTCCTCCTCCTCCTCCTCCTCATCATCATCATCTGTAACAATAGAAACAGACATTTGGCTTTGGAAGGTGAGGAATAAAGTAATGATTTCAGGACAAAAGCACCTCTGAAAGTTTGCTCAGGGCGGAGCTTAGATTCATTCATTCGACACATTTTCTTTCTGATCAACACAAAACTTCACTGAGTTGTAAAAATGTAAATGTTGTGTTTTGAATTGGCGCTAAATAAATAAACTGAATTTAGTAGAATTATACAAAAGCAAATAAAGCTTCGGGTTGGAAATTTGACCCCCGTTCCTTTAAAAAATGGTAAAGCGGATCCAAATGAGTGGATTTGACTTTAAAATAATCCATTCGTTGTAGACTGGTTAGTTTTGGACCCTTGTCCTGTTGGACACCAACCTGTCCACATTTCAGGCAGAGCAGCCAATGGCCACAGTGACTGTAAACAAACCCCTCCTCTTCGTTTTCACTCCACCTGTCATTGTCAGCTAAACACAGATTTGCTTTTCTTCACAGGAAGTTTGGCTGGAATGAGCAGACAGACATTTCTAAACAGGCTTCTTATCGGGCAGACCACCTCAGACCTGCTCACAGTCAAACCTGCTTCTCAGAACCTTTGGGCTGTTCTTCAGCTTCTAAACCTTTGATTTGAAGGCGACAGTTTGAGCCAGAGGCCTAAAAGTAGGAAGTGTTTTAAAAGGATCCTGGTTTGAAATCAATCAAACCGTTTGTGATTGGGCGGGACCTGCAGAATACCGATCCTTCATGCTGATGTTGGTCCTGATGCATCATCAACTGGTTCCAGATGAGTCCAACTTTATTGAGTCCACACAACGTTAACATTTACACATTTGTTTTTATCTAGATCGACTTCATATAAAATCCTCACTGGGGCATTTTGTTTCTGTCTGAAAATCTGGTTCTATTTAACATTTAAAGTGGTTTAATAAAAAAAGGTTATTTTGTTCTTTGATCTGTTGACATTTTCTCCATAAAGAATCTTGATATTTGTTACGAATTGAAGATTTGGAAACAGGAATAAATGTAGTTGCTTGTTTTCAGTGGAGTTTTTGTTAATGGAGGATATTTTCCTTATTATCAGTATTAAAGCTGCTGTCAGCTTCTTACCTCGTTAACCTGCTGGGATCTCCTGACTCAGGCGTCCACGGTCCTCACACAGCTTTACCAAACAGATCTGGGATGATTCATGCTCTCCATGCAGCTTTGCAGCCAAAATTAAAGCCCCGCCCCTTTGTAACAGAGATGCGCTGAAGCAGGTTGTGATCATTTGATTTATTGAATGAATGATAGCAGGTTAAAGAAATCTGGAGTCATGTTTTCACATGATGTTTCATAAATCACAGGTTTTTACCAAACAACAAGAGAAAAGTACACAACCCTGACATCTCTTTACAATTTGATAAAAAAAGAACAGCTGTTTCTCTCTTTTCCCAAACACTCGTTCCCTGAAACATCATTAGCAAAAATACCGAGGTAATATTTTACAGCAGATAAATTCAGATGTTTTTAATATTTGGATTCAGATAAAATGTTCTCCTTATAACAGTGTGTCTGAAATGTGCATTAAGAAATTCAGCACTTTAGAAAAAGAAATGTGGCACGCCATGACACTGAACACACACATGAGCAACACTTCCTGTCCGTAGCAGTTTGACATGAAGGCACAGCAGAGTGGAAATGAAAGTCAGAGCTGAGCGCAGGTTCAGCGCCATTAATGCTCCACAGAGAAAGAAAGAGACCACGAGATATGGGGAAAGAGAGAAACTCTGACGGGATTAAAGCTCAGATGGATTAATTTAGGTGTTGGCCCTCCTGCACCCCCCAACCCCCCCTCGCGCTTTATTCTCCCTCTGCCTGTCTCCCCATCTCAGTCCCACTATCACTGTCTCTCTTTCTTTCTCTGCAGATTCACATAAAGATCCATGTCAGTCTGAGCCAAAACAAAGGAGATGAACCTTGTTTTCAAATGAAACACAAATCAAAAGATCTCAGACTAGTGACCCCCCCCCCCCCCCCCCCCATGACTGAATCCCAAGACGGGCTTGGCTTGTGTGGAATTGCATTTTGGTTCTTTCTCTCTCTTTCAAATCATTGCGTCTGCAGTCCCCAGTTCATATCTAGCGTACTGTACGAAGGACCTCGGACAGTTGGACTTCAGGTGGGCCAGTTCAATTTCCCCAGACTGCTCATAACTCTAGTTAGGCAGAAAAAAAGAGCAGAGAGTCAGAGACAGCAGGAAAATAAACAGCTGCAAGGAGTGGAGGAGGGACTGATAACCAATCAGCTAACAGACATTCACCAAGAGATGATCAGCTTCTGCTATCAGTCCTGTAGCATACTAGCAAACTGGTGCCTGTGAAGCCATCACTGGCGGTGACATCAGCCACTGCAAGTGAAGCCGTCACTATCGGTGACATCAGCCACTGCCAGTGATGGCATCACTATCGGTGACATCAGCCACTGCCAGTGAAGCCGTCACTATCGGTGACATCAGCCACTGCCAGTGAAGCCGTCACTATCGGTGACATCAGCCACTGCCAGTGAAGCCGTCACTATCGGTGACATCAGCCACTGCCAGTGAAGCCGTCACTATCGGTGACATCAGCCACTGCCAGTGAAGCCGTCACTATCGGTGACATCAGCCACTGCCAGTGAAGCCGTCACTATCGGTGACATCAGCCACTGCCAGTGATGGCATCACTATCGGTGACATCAGCCACTGCCAGTGAAGCCGTCACTATCGGTGACATCAGCCACTGCCAGTGAAGCCGTCACTATCGGTGACATCAGCCACTGCCAGTGAAGCCGTCACTATCGGTGACATCAGCCACTGCCAGTGAAGCGTCACCACTGCCAGTGAAGCATCACTATCGGTGACATCAGCCGCTGCCAGTGGAGCCGTCACTATCGGTGACATCAGCCACTGCCAGTGATGGCATCACTATCGGTGACATCAGCCACTGCCAGTGAAGCCGTCACTATCGGTGACATCAGCCGCTGCCAGTGAAGCGTCACTATCGGTGACATCAGCCGCTGCCAGTGAAGCGTCACTATCGGTGACATCAGCCGCTGCCAGTGAAGCCGTCACTATCGGTGACATCAGCCACTGCCAGTGATGGCATCACTATCGGTGACATCAGCCACTGCCAGTGAAGCGTCACTATCGGTGACATCAGCCGCTGCCAGTGAAGCGTCACTATCGGTGACATCAGCCACTGCCAGTGAAGCCGTCACTATCGGTGACATCAGCCACTGCCAGTGAAGCCGTCACTATCGGTGACATCAGCCACTGCCAGTGAAGCGTCACCACTGCCAGTGAAGCATCACTATCGGTGACATCAGCCGCTGCCAGTGGAGCCGTCACTATCGGTGACATCAGCCACTGCCAGTGAAGCCGTCACTATCGGTGACATCAGCCACTGCCAGTGGAGCCGTCACTATCGGTGACATCAGCCACTACCAGTGAAGCCGTCACTATCGGTGACATCAGCCACTGCCAGTGAAGCCGTCACTATCGGTGACATCAGCCACTGCCAGTGAAGCGTCACTATCGGTGACATCAGCCGCTGCCAGTGAAGCGTCACTATCGGTGACATCAGCCGCTGCCAGTGATGGCATCACTATCGGTGACATCAGCCACTGCCAGTGAAGCCGTCACTATCGGTGACATCAGCCACTGCCAGTGAAGCGTCACTATCGGTGTCATCAGCCACTGCCAGTGATGGCATCACTATCGGTGACATCAGCCACTGCCAGTGAAGCCGTCACTATCGGTGACATCAGCCACTGCCAGTGAAGCATCACTATCGGTGACATCAGCCACTGCCAGTGAAGCCGTCACTATCGGTGACATCAGCCACTGGCAGTGAAGCATCACTATCGGTGACATCAGCCACTGCCAGTGAAGCATCACTATCGGTGACATCAGCCACTGCCAGTGAAGCCGTCACTATCGGTGACATCAGCCACTGCCAGTGAAGCCGTCACTATCGGTGACATCAGCCACTGCCAGTGAAGCCGTCACTATCGGTGACATCAGCCACTGCCAGTGAAGCCGTCACTATCGGTGACATCAGCCACTGCCAGTGAAGCGTCACCACTGCCAGTGAAGCATCACTATCGGTGACATCAGCCGCTGCCAGTGGAGCCGTCACTATCGGTGACATCAGCCACTGCCAGTGAAGCCGTCACTATCGGTGACATCAGCCACTGCCAGTGAAGCCGTCACTATCGGTGACATCAGCCACTGCCAGTGAAGCCGTCACTATCGGTGACATCAGCCACTGCCAGTGAAGCCGTCACTATCGGTGACATCAGCCACTGCCAGTGAAGCATCACTATCGGTGACATCAGCCACTGCCAGTGAAGCCGTCACTATCGGTGACATCAGCCACTGCCAGTGAAGCATCACTATCGGTGACATCAGCCACTGCCAGTGAAGCATCACTATCGGTGACATCAGCCACTGCCAGTGAAGCCGTCACTATCGGTGACATCAGCCACTGCCAGTGAAGCCGTCACTATCGGTGACATCAGCCACTGCCAGTGAAGCCGTCACTATCGGTGACATCAGCCACTGCCAGTGAAGCCGTCACTATCGGTGACATCAGCCACTGCCAGTGAAGCGTCACCACTGCCAGTGAAGCATCACTATCGGTGACATCAGCCGCTGCCAGTGGAGCCGTCACTATCGGTGACATCAGCCACTGCCAGTGAAGCCGTCACTATCGGTGACATCAGCCACTGCCAGTGAAGCCGTCACTATCGGTGACATCAGCCACTGCCAGTGAAGCCGTCACTATCGGTGACATCAGCCACTGCCAGTGAAGCGTCACTATCGGTGACATCAGCCACTGCCAGTGAAGCCGTCACTATCGGTGACATCAGCCACTGCCAGTGAAGCCGTCACTATCGGTGACATCAGCCACTGCCAGTGAAGCCGTCACTATCGGTGACATCAGCCACTGCCAGTGGAGCCGTCACTATCGGTGACATCAGCCACTGCCAGTGAAGCCGTCACTATCGGTGACATCAGCCACTGCCAGTGAAGCGTCACTATCGGTGACATCAGCCACTGCCAGTGAAGCCGTCACTATCGGTGACATCAGCCACTGCCAGTGAAGCCGTCACTATCGGTGACATCAGCCACTGCCAGTGAAGCGTCACCACTGCCAGTGAAGCATCACTATCGGTGACATCAGCCGCTGCCAGTGGAGCCGTCACTATCGGTGACATCAGCCACTGCCAGTGAAGCCGTCACTATCGGTGACATCAGCCACTGCCAGTGAAGCCGTCACTATCGGTGACATCAGCCACTGCCAGTGAAGCCGTCACTATCGGTGACATCAGCCACTGCCAGTGAAGCGTCACTATCGGTGACATCAGCCACTGCCAGTGAAGCCGTCACTATCGGTGACATCAGCCACTGCCAGTGAAGCGTCACTATCGGTGACATCAGCCACTGCCAGTGAAGCCGTCACTATCGGTGACATCAGCCACTGCCAGTGAAGCATCACTATCGGTGACATCAGCCACTGCCAGTGAAGCCGTCACTATCGGTGACATCAGCCACTGCCAGTGAAGCGTCACTATCGGTGACATCAGCCACTGCCAGTGAAGCGTCACTATCGGTGACATCAGCCACTGCCAGTGATGGCATCACTATCGGTGACATCAGCCACTGCCAGTGAAGCCGTCACTATCGGTGACATCAGCCACTGCCAGTGAAGCGTCACTATCGGTGACATCAGCCACTGCCAGTGAAGCCGTCACTATCGGTGACATCAGCCACTGCCAGTGAAGCGTCACTATCGGTGACATCAGCCACTGCCAGTGAAGCGTCACTATCGGTGACATCAGCCACTGCCAGTGAAGCGTCACTATCGGTGACATCAGCCACTGCCAGTGAAGCCGTCACTATCGGTGACATCAGCCACTGCCAGTGAAGCGTCACTATCGGTGACATCAGCCACTGCCAGTGAAGCGTCACTATCGGTGACATCAGCCACTGCCAGTGAAGCGTCACTATCGGTGACATCAGCCACTGCAGACAGGCGGGTTTTACTGTTGATGCTTTTGGGTCAAAGGTCTTCAAATCCGGATTGAACAAAATAGTCAAAGTCTGACTAAAGTTCAGGGGCCAGCAGTGGTTGATGCTGGGCCACTCCCAGTCTGCCCAGTTTGAAGGATGCTACAGACTGGGAGCATCCCAGTCTGCAGGATGCTGCAGATCAAAAGGCCAAACACAGAGACGACACAAAGAGCAGCATCTACTCAGACTGACCTTCATGATCGTCGTCATCATCGTCATCATCATCATCGTCGTCATCATCATCGTCGTCGTCATCATCATCATCGTCGTCATCATCATCATCATCATCATCATCATCGTCATCATCATCATCGTCGTCGTCATCGTCGTCATCATCATCATCGTCATCATCGTCATCATCATCGTCGTCGTCATCGTCATCATCATCATCGTCGTCATCGTCATCATCATCATCATCATCGTCGTCATCGTCATCATCATCATCGTCATCGTCGTCATCATCATCATCATCATCATCATCGTCGTCGTCATCATCGTCATCATCATCATCATCGTCGTCATCATCATCATCGTCATCATCATCGTCATCATCATCATCATCAGCCATCAGGCCCTCCTCAGTGTGGAATGGCAGGTCTTGGGCCTTGGCGATGGGGGCCAGTGGGGTGTGGAAGGAGCAGAGCAGTGCAAGCAGCATTGCAAGGATCAAACTTCTTAATGAGGCCATTTTAGCGACTGGGATTTAGTGAACTATAGTGAAAAAAACCTGGAATCACTGCAGGAGTCCAGCGCTGCAGCTTCTCTACCTATTGTCCAGCACACGCAGTGCCTGAAGGACTCAGCCGCGCTCAGAGATAGACAGCAGGTTAATCAGCATCCAACTAAAAAGGTCCTGTTCACTGCTATTAGTCCCAGTTGAGACCGAGAGACTTGCTCCAGGTTCCTTCAAATAAAATCCAGGAGAAAGCAGGAGGCCGAGCCTTGAATCTTGGGCCACTTTCAACGTTGGACGTCAGGTGTGATAGTCTGAGCGGAGAGCCGTCAGTAACTGGTCGATGTTGGAGGCACAGATAGGACTAATGTGAGAGCAACAGAAAAAGAGGTAAGCTGAGAAGAAGGGGGGCAGTGGGACTGACTGACAGGGGCAGATGTTGGTGGGTAGGCCTGTGCTATCCATAAATCAAGAAAGCAGGGAGTGGCTGAAGGGGAATCAGTGGACCACTCTTGTGTTTTAATTTAAGATCCAATATTTAAGTTTTACTGAGGTGATCTGCAGTCATGAAAAGTAGGTATAAAGAAGATCAGTGAGCCATAGGTGGAGGATTTCCAGCCTAGACCCTGACTGGGGGGATAGCTTTACATTTTATAGGTTGGGTCTTTAAATTTTGGAATCTCCGTGTGTCTTTCAACATCTTCTGTTTGTTCAGAAATGTGAAGGTCAATCGACATGTTCTTAAAGATTAAGGCTGATCATTAACCTCTGAATCTGTTTTCCTGCATTAGTTTCAAGTCTTTCATTTTAAAGGCTCTTCTTCTGCAAATGTTTAAGTTTCTAAGAGGTTGATGCAAGAAACAACCGAGTGAAACACAAACCCAAATAATGTGATATAATAAGATCAGTTTTTGTGAATGCTGACCCCATGGTGATTGATCTGATTTCATAAAGGTTGCCCCCCTGGCTGCTGCAGCTCATGGGTATCCCACATAGGAACAGCTCAGTTCCTGGATGTATTTGATGATGAGAGGGAAGGCAGCCATGAGCACGTTCAGGTCCTCAGGGGATAAATCCACCAGCTTTTAATGACTCTGGGACTGAATCCGAGTGTTGTGGTTTAATGTTATCATGGGGGGTAATGAACGTTTCAGCTTCTTGGCACAGCCACTAAAGATGGACGCTGGTGGAGTTTAGCATGAAGTTGGACATGGTGACGTGTGTCAAACCCTTTCTATTAAATTATGTTCGTTTTTCAGAATCTGCTGATGAAGTCGAAGCCTGTTGGCTGAAGAAAGCCTTGGTTTGCAACTCATCTCTTTTCTTTCCTCCCCCTACATGCTAACCCCAGAATAGAGCAATTTGTAAAGGGAGGAGTTGAAACCTGCTCTATTTAAAGCTCCACACTGTCAGAGTCAGTGTAATGTGATCCTGCCTGGCTCTGCCTGACAGAGCAGCACCGGTTCTCCCTCCTCATGTATGACAGACACCTCCTTATCCTTCATATCAAAAATCAAAAACACTCCACTGGGAGCTTTGTTGCTACGATGAGCCTAAAGAAAATACACTTTAATATGATTTGGCCAAATCTAAATCCTTTCTTTGTTCAAAATCTCTCGTGTCAGACTAAATATTCAGAAAGGATCAAATGATGAATGATCCATGATAAAGAATGAGCTTAATGCTCAGATAGAACAAAGTGTTTAAAATGTCCTGAACAAACCAGTAAGACAGCTGAGTGTGGGATATAAACCAGTATCAGGTTGGTTTAGCTGAACCTTTAGTGACACAGAGGAAATGATAATGATAGCTTTGAATAACATATAATCACTTTTTAAGCATTAGATGTTGACGCAGCCTCTGGACGTTACAGTTAGTTAATTTAAGATGTTAGCAGCAGGGAGAAACAGCTGAGATGGACGAAGCTGAGGGCAGAAGGAGGGAGGAGATCAGGTCAAGATGAAGACTGCAAAGTGGCTGAAAGTGGAGAAGAGCTGAGACATGCCAACCACATTTCTCCTTCCTCCGCTCACTCCGACCCACAGCGCCCGCTTAGCTGACCAACGCTACTTCCTCTGACCGCTAATGAAAAGTTTACATTATAAGATTCAGTGACATTTATCTGGCTGTTTGGAGGATTTATCAGAAGAAGGATGTCGGTAAACACATTAAGCAGATTTTAAAAACCAATGTCAATAGATATTTATTTTTAATGAGAAACAAAGGTGTTGCTAAGGGTGTGCTGTGGCAAAGAGAACCCGTCATCGGCCCATTCATCAACCTGGATCTGAAATTCCTCAGCAGGATTAATTTCCCTGAAATCCAGAGCCAAATTCATCCATGGCTCTTTCCATGTAAGGACTGGCTAAAGAGGGAAATCTCCTTCCAGGATACTGTTACCCAAGGGGGGTGGTGTTTTACTCTGGGTGTGGGTTGGAGGTAAAGGAACTCAGAGGTTAATATAAGTACTTGATGATACTGCTGGCACAGAGCTATCAGCACTAGATCTGTAATTCATTTGATTTCTATGCCTCCAATGACCAATCCTTGTCATCTCTGGAGACTTTATAGATCCATTTCAATTAGATCATTTAGGCATATTAAAGGTTCAAAGTTTTCTATCTAAGGAAAACCAGCTGATTGCATCGACTCATTGACTCTTCAGCAATCCCTCACACTAAGCATGCTTGTAGCGACAGTGGAGAGGAAAAACTCCCTTTGAACAGGAAGAAACCTCCAGCAGAACCAGGCTCAGTGTGAGCGGCCATCTGCTGAGGCCCACTGGGGTTCAAGGAGACAGAAGCAGACATAGAAAAAGAAGCATAGATACAAAAGGCAACTGTCAACCAGCTCCACAGGCGGCCCCGTCCAGGAAACACACAGCCAGGCAGACGAGCTCCGAGCCAGCTCCCATGTCAGAGGATGAAGAGAGCACATCCAGTTAGTCACAGTCAGAGAAACAGGACTACACTGGAAAACAGGCCAAGCTCCAACATCTAGAAACAAAGGTGTTGATGGCAGCAGCACAGCTGATATTTCTCTCCAGGATGGAGTCACAGCCAAACAGGAACAGACCAGATGAAGCTACTATGAGAAAAAGCAGAGAGAGCAGAACGTTAGAGATTGAACTAACAGATTCTGCAGAGTGGGAGAATAGAGATAGAATGAAGCAGAATGATGAAAAAGGGGTCCCTATGTCCTCCAGCAGTCTAAGCCTATAGCAGCAGAACTATAGAGATAGCTCAGGATAACCTGAGCCACTCTAACTAGAAGCTTTATCAAAAAGGAAAGTTTTAAGCCTAGCCTTAAAAGTAGACAGGGTGTCTGCCTCACGGACTAAAACTGGTAGTTGGTTCCACAGGAGAGGAGCCTGAGAACTAAAAGATCTGCCTCCCATTCTACTTTTAGAAATTCTAGGAACCACTAGTAAACCTGCAGATTGAGAGCGAAGTGCTCTGTTAGGAACATAAGGAACAATCAGATCTCTGATATCAGATGGAGCTTGGCCATTTAAGGCTTTATATGTGAGAAGGAGGATTTTAAATTCTATTCTGGATTTAACAGGAAGCCAATGAAGAGAAGCCAGGATAGGAGAGATATGATCTCTCTTTTTCATTTTCATTAGAACTCTGGCTGCAGCATTTTGGATCAGCTGAAGGCTTTTAACTACAGTTTGTGGACTTCCTGATAGTAAAGAATTACAATAGTCCAGCCTTGAAGTAACAAATGCATGGACTAGTTTCTCAGCATCACCCCTGGACAGGAGATTGCTCATTTTAGCAATGTTCCTCAGATGAACGAAGGATAACAGTGGAAATTAATCCCATGCTGTCTAATAACTCTACCAATTGGGAGCATGTATAAAGTAAAGAGAATTGGTCCTAGCACTGATCCCTGTGGTACTCCACAGGTAACCTTTGAGCGTGTTGAAGATCTATCATTAACATGAACAAACTGAATTCGATCAGATAGATAAGATTTAAACCAGTCTAGTGCTGTTCCTTTAATTCCAACAAAATATTCAAGTCTTTCTAAAGAATATTATGATCAACTGGATCAAATGCAGCACTAAGATCCAACAGGACGAGCACAGATACAAGTCCATTATCTGAGGCCATGAGAATATCATTAGTGACTTTCACCAGAGCTGTTTCAGTGCTATGATGAGCTCTAAAGCCAGACTGAAACTCTTCAAAAAGTTCATTATGGTGGAAGTGATCGCACACTTGTTTGGCAACTACTTTCTCAAGAATTTTAGATCAGAAATATGCTCCAAAAAACTTAATAATAAATAAATCAATCATTTTTGGTGAAATAAATAAAGTCTGGAAAATGGATTTAAGATTTATGTGAAGGATAGCAGAGCAGGAAGTTTTTGTCTCAGATAGTAGCGTAAAGGCTGTGCTGCAATGGATGGAGCAACCTCAGGGTCTGAGAAAAAACCTTCAAATGCTCCTAGAAGCAGTAGCAGAGCAGCAGAGGCTCTGGGAAATCCCGGTTTCAAGACAAAAGAGTTCAGCCTAAGACGATGTGCAGAAATCAGCTGGTTCTTTATTGGGTTTCATGTCAGGGATCATAAAGCAAACAGAACAACTTTAAACACTGATTTCCTGCATGCAGCTTTGATGGGTTCAGGCAGCTTTAAATCAGATCCATCTGATCTCACAAGGCCAGATATGGAGGTTTCTATGGTGACAGACGGGGCTAAAGCTCTCCTGTCACACAACAACATGCAGACTGACCTTTCTATACAAAAAAGAAAAATATAGATTTTCTCATAACAAAAAATCAAACCACTAGAATCCCCCAAATAGGAAACTAGAGATTGTTAAAGATGAAAGTCCTGAGTGTTCCTCACTCTGAGACTAATCCACTCCGAGTCCCAGAGTTTAAAGTCAGCCAGAGCTGCAGGGGTTAATCCACAGCTCAGAGTTCTTCTGCACTGGGAAGGCTGGGAGGACTGGGATGTGAAGCTCAGCTTTGAGACAGTGCCGAAACCTCTATAAAAATATAAAAATAAAGATTAATGAAAGAAAACAATATTCTATTCAACTCAGTTCTATCCTTAACTATTCTGTTCTATTACTATCTGTTCTATTCTAAACCCTGTGACTGATCTCATTACCTCTGAGTGGAGGAGGCGGCCGGCTGCTTCCCACCAACTCACTCTGAGACAGAGCTTCAGTCATCCAGCAGAGGGCGCTGCAGCAGTACTCCACCTGGAGAAGAGACAGTGATGCATGAGTGCTGAGCGGGCAGCTTCGCTGCCTGTCTGCCTGCCTGTCTGTCTGTCTGCCTGCCTTTCTGCCTGCCTATCTGCCTGCCTGTCTGTCTGTCTGTCTGCCTGTCTGCCTGCCTGCCTATCTGCCTGCCTGTCTGTCTGTCTGCCTGTCTGTCTGTCTGTCTGCCTGTCTGCCCTCCTGTCTGTTTGTCTGGCTGTCTGCCTGCCTGTCTGTCTGCCCTCCTGTCTGTTTCTCTGGCTGTCTGTCTGCCTGCCCGTCTGTCTGTCTGTCTGCCCTCCTGTCTGTTTCTCTGGCTGTCTGTCTGCCTGCCCGTCTGTCTGTCTGTCTGCCTGTCTTTCTGCCTGCCTGCC